CGAACCCGCCGAGACATGTCGAGCCGGGACCACGAACAGGCGCCATCCCGAAAGAACGGGAAGTGTTCCAGCGCGAGGCATTTCCACCACCGGTGCCACCGAAGCCACATAGACAAGGCGCACGAGGGGCGGAGTATTCGTCCAGCAGCCAGTTTACGTCGCAGATGCTCAGTCGAGGAACTGGCGTAACTCGAATAACCGCCATTTCCGAGTAGAGGACCGGAGAGCGGATGATTTTCAACCGGAGGAGGCGTACGCCAACGTACAAGAAACGGCGTACATGAAGCTCGAGCGGTGGAACGTCTAGTTTGATGCCTGGAGTTCCTGCAGAGGCAGTATCAATGCCCGTGGAAGGAGGTCCTGCGCGGTTTCCACCTGCTCCTGACCGCCGCGCCCGCGAGTGGTATTGGATGCACGTGCGGCATTCTAGGGTCGACAGCTGGATGCAACTGCGACATGCCCTCTGGACAGGTTCCGGGGCTACCAGACGGAACACGATGTGATACAGGAGCTATTACAACGAGAGCAACAGGCCAGCGAAGGGGTAGATAGTTATATCCACCACATGCTTCAACTCGCCGCGCGACTCCAGAAGCCGCTGAGAGACCGCGAGCTGGTGAAGATTATAAAGCGTGGTTTGAAAGAAAGTCTGGCGAAATATATCTATGCCATGGACGTGCTCACCGTGGATGAACTGCGCCAAGAGTGCCTAGAAGTGGAGAGGCACATGGGTCGTAGAAGCCGGACGGGGTACCTGCAGCCGTCGCGTTGTCCACAAGGGACGAGGCCCGTAGTCCACGAGGTTGAAGTACCACCACAACGTACAGAAACGCCGCCGGGAGAACTGGAGGAAGCATTCGTGCGAGGCAGGAACTCATCCCGACTTGTATGCTGGAACTGCAGACAATTCGATCACGTCTTTAGAGACTGCCTGTCCAAGGAGCGGAAAATATTCTGCTATAGGTGTGGAAAGCCGGACACTTTCCAGTGCGAAAACTGTCCGGAAAACCCCAGAGGGAGCGCGGTGATGGCGGGGCAGACGCGTTCCGGGACGGCGACCGCGGGGAAGCAGGAGAGGGGTACCTACAAAAGCCAATAATCATGGAAAAGGAGACGGAGAGTTGGAATAAGGATCAGGATAAGGCGTATTATAATAATAATAAGCAAAGGAGGAACACTTAGGGGCTTACCGTATGAAGAACGTGTTCGGGCATACATGTCGGCCCGAAATAGAATTTTTGGTGAGCGACAGGTGGAAGGGATGACACTAGCCAACCGGAGAGTGGTGAAGGCACGTGCGCGCTTCCGCAGACGCAGGATTACCCGGCGCCAGGTCGTCGAAGCGGTGAGACGGGAGGATTGTATAGACCCACGCGTATTTGCCGAAGTGGAAGTCGCCGGGGCCAAGATGAAAGGGTTGCTGGACACGGGGGCCTCAGTCAGTCTGTTGGGACGAGGATGCCGGAAGTTAGTGGAGGAACTGGGATGGGAAGCGCGGCCTTACGAATCGATGGTGAGGACAGCGGCGGGTGCCAATCGCCCAATTTTAGGTCGCGTGGTTCTGCCTGTGAAATACGAGAATAGAAAGGAAAATATCGTATTTTACATGTGCCCGGACCTGCGACAGGAACTATACCTGGGGATCGATTTCTGGCGGGCCCTTGAGATTGTACCAGAGCTGCTCGGTCCGGCCAGAAAGCCAGGAACACCACCAGAGGCATCTGAGGAAACGGTAGCGAACCCAGAGGTGGCATATTACCGGGACGACGACGACTGCGCGGCGGATTCGGAAATGTGGGACCTGGACAACGATCAGAAGAGTCAGTTGGAAAGCGTGAAGCGCAGATTTCTCCAATTTGAGAAGGATGGCCTAGGGAAAACTCACCTGCTCCAGCACCGAATTCAGCTGATCGAGGGAGCAGAACCCGTGAAGGACAGACATTATCCGCTGTCTCCGGCCAAACAAGTGATCGTGTGGGCCGAGGTGGATAAAATGCTAAAGTTAGGCATCATCGAGGAGAGTGACAGCCCCTGGAGCAACTGGACGACGGTGGTGATGAGGCCTGGGAAGAACAGGTTTTGCTTAGATGCCAGGAAACTAAACGGTGTGACGGTAAAGGACGCTTACCCGCTTCCATGCATCGAGGGCATCTTATCGCGAATCGACGAGACTCATTTTATCTCTCGACCTTAAGTTCGCGTTCTGGCAAATCGAGATGGAGGAGAAGAGCAGGGCGTATACGGCGTTTACCGTACCAGGGAGGCCGCTGTACCAGTTTCGCCACATGCCATTCGGGCTCTGCAACGCCGCTCAACAACTTTGCAGGCTCATGGACAAGGTAATCCCGGCGAATCTGAGGTCCAACGTGTTCGTATACCTAGACGATTTGCTGATAATATCGGCAGATTTTCCAACGCACCTAAAATACTTGGAACTGGTGGCCGAGTGTCTGAGGAACGCGAACCTCACCATAGGCATGGCGAAGTCAAAATTCTGCTTCCGTAACCTAAACTACCTGGGTTTCATCATATAGGCGGCGGGACGCTGCGCAGGGATCCGGGAAGAGTAGAAGCGATCCGAAACATCCCGAATCCGAGGACGGTCAAGGAACTACGAAGCTTCTTAGGTACAGCGGGGTGGTATCGACGATTCATAAAGAACTTCGCCGAGATCTCAGTACCGTTGAGTGATGATGCCCTTAAGAAGAGAACGGGTAGATTTGTGTTGAGTGACGAGGCCGTGGATGCCATGGAAAGCTTGAAGTTAGCCCTCACCACTGCCCCGGTGTTAGTTCACGCGGATTTTCGAAGACCATTCCGAGCCGTGTTGTTCCAGCTAGACGACGAGCAACAGGAAAGGCCGATCGCATTCTTCTCGACCAAACTCAACAAGCACCAGATCAACTATTCGGTGACCGAGAAGGAATGCCTAGCCGCCAAGCTGGCCATACATCGATTTCGACCGTACGTGGAGATGATGCCGTTCACGGTAATCACCGATCATGCGAGCCTGCAGTGGCTTATGAGTCTCAAAGACTTGAGCGGGAGACGTCAGCTCATGGAGGCATGAGGAAAACGCTGCATGCGCTGCGCAGGCGATATTATTGGCCCAACATGGCCATACAAGTCAGGTATTATGTACGGAAATGCGAGACATGCAAGGAGACCAAGGCACAAAACTACCGGATGCAGGTCGGCATTGGGGAAGAAGTGCGCACCGACCGCCCCTTCCAGAAGCTTTATATCGACTTCTTGGGGAAGAATCCACGGTCGAAACGAGGGCATGCGTGGATATTCGTCGTCGTAGACCACTTCTCGAAATTAACCTTCCTGAAGGCCATGAGGGTAGCCACCGCGGCGGATGTCGTTTACTTCCTAGTGCATGAGGTGTTCTTCAAATTTGGCGTGCCGGAAGTGATCCATTCGGATAATGGACGACAATTCGTGTCAAAGTCGTTCGATGCCATGGTCCAGGCGTTTGGCATTACCCACCTGCGCACACCAGTGTATTCGCCTCAGAGCAACGCCGCCGAACGCGTGAACCACACAGTGCTGTCTGCAATCAGAACCTACCTGGGTCAGGATCATCGGGATTGGGACGCGTACCTACCAGAGGTGGAAGTGGCGATCCGGAATGTGGTCCACAGCGCTACGGGAGTGACTCCGTTTTTCGCGGTCTTTGGACAGCAGATGTACCTGAATGGTTCCAGTTACAAACTGGCCAGGAAGCTGAGATCATTGGCCGATCACAGTATCCTGACCTTGACGCGAAGGACAGACTGGCTGTAATCCGAAGCCAAGTCAAGGACCACCTGCACACCGCATACGAGCGAAGCCGCCAACGATACAACCACCGTGCGCGCCAGCTCCATCTGGAACCGGGACAGGAAGTGTGGAGGCGCAACTTTGCACTAAGCAGCTTCGGCAAAGCCTTCAATGCCAAGTTCGCCCGGAAATTCTTGAAGAGCCGAGTCGTCCGAGCCGTGGGCACCAATGCCTACGAGTTAGAAGATCTCCAGGGACGCATGCTAGGCGTCTTCCACGCAAAAGATATACGAACATAATCGTAGTTTGCTCACCTCAATGCCAGGCAATGGCGGCGGCAGCGCCCGTCCTCCCTGTTTTGTTTTTTTTTTTTCGGGTCGGTGCGAAATATGGATTGGCCTACGTTGGGCATCGTTATTAGCCGGCTGGGTCAATCCATGAAATGCGCACGCAGATTCCTTGTAATGGTCATTCATGTCATTACAATAATCTGCGTGGTGATGTTGCATTTGACGTTATCGGTAGCACCGAGGGTTTCCTAGTTGGTTGCGTGCGATATTATCGGCCACGCCGATATCTTTTCGCCATAGGATCGGAGTATGCGGGGTGAAGCGGCGCCCACGGCGGAGCCCAAATTTTGAAGGGTGGCAACGCCAGACTTGCGATCCACGGCGCCAATAGCGACGATTGCTATTGGCCGCTCAGTTCGCTCTTAAAGGGAATATGAATTGAGTGGATCGCATGCCCTTGTATATGCCCTTGACCGTCATATGGGCCATTGACCCAAAAAAATGCAGCTGTGCAGATGTGCAGCAACGGTGCCCGCATCGCATATGTATGCGTGTGCCGAAATTCGGCACCGATGATGTTTGCTGCCAAATGTAATGAGAGTTCGATTTTGTCAGCGGTCCACAGCGGACGTACCGGCTCACCGTTAAGAAAATCTGAAAATTGGATATTTTATTTTGCCGGCTAAGGGCATGTGCTTAAAAAAAAAGAGGAATAGAAAATATCAAATCACACTTGTTTTTTGAGGAGGTTTCTTTATTAGTAAATCGCTTAACCCTTATGTGCTAAGGTATTGCAAAAAAAAGAACTTAAAACCTAAGTGCGACGAGACAAGCAAAAAAAAAAAAATTAACGGTTCCGGCAACAAAGGGACCAGCTCCCGCACCTCAGCGGCACACACCAGCCATATCCGCGACGCCGCCAGCCAAGTGTCGGCGTAATCTACGAGACGGACGGACGAGCCATCACGGACCGGACGCCAACAGCGAAGAAGCGGCCACAGGCGAGACCACGCCCACATCCTCCGAGTGAGTCCGTTTCATTTTTGCCCATCCTCGTTCGAGCCCATGGCAGAGATATGATGGAGGCTCCTGACCGTACTCCCTGAAAAAGAACAGAGTTTTTTTGTCGTTAAATTTAGTTTTTTTGTATTTATAAATCATGTCCATACTTACATAGGCACTTACGCCGAGTTTCACTTTAGAGTGCGAACGGTGAGGGAATTTCCAAGGGTGATGCATCTGCGCCTGTAAAAGATAAACATTTAAAATTAACACTTGCGCGAACTATGCTCACATACTTACCTAATTGGAATTATCCATTTACATCGCCCCTTACCTCCCCCAGAGAGCTCTTTAGGTAGGGTAAGGTAGAATTAAGCGATTTAATACAATTCATATCACCTACCTGTTGCACGACCGATATTCGTGGCATACCCAGTTTTGCGTAGTTGTGTGGGCACATTGGTCCTAAATTGGCGCAACGTTTGCATCCAAATTTCTTCGTGCGTGTTTTGTTGGTAGAATTTCGTCGCCTGTTCCACTTAGTGCTGTTAAAATGAAAAAAAGAGAATTCTAGAAGATAAGAGAAAAATTTAGGCATTAATACACTTTGTCCATAAGTATATAAATATGCAATATATAATACGCACCCGTGTAAGAAACGTTCACGTGCATAAGTGTTAATTCATCTGGACGGAGACCTCATGCAAATCAGAAAGGAATAAAAGAAATATTAAGGCCAATAATTATAAGAATGCACAAACCATTATACGCACCGTGAAGCTAACCAAATATCCACTTGTAAGAGATTCGAAATAGCTGCAAAGATAAATGCCATAAGCAATGCTTATAATTGTTATTCACTTTAAGAAAATTATATATATACAATTATATACCGTATCTGATGAGAGAAATGTTCGGTTAAATTTTCTTCGTTGGGGAGAATTGGCATAACAGCCGGCACAGGCTGATGGCCATCTAATGGACAAAATGAGGAAGACGAGTGTAGGTGCTCGTCTCTCATGGTTGGGCGGGTACGCTGGGTCCGGAACCGGGGCCCGATCTGGAAGAGTAAGGTGGATTAATTGTGTTTTTTGTAAATTTATATTGAGTGTCTCACCTTTGTTGTTTACATTTTCATAGTTGTTACAGCTGTTATTTTGTTCATGAGTTAGAAGTTCCGATTGTTTGACGTTATCGATTTGTGGCTCGTTTTGCATAGTGCTGTGTAAGTCTGTTTTGCTACAGACGTGTAGCTTTGTTGTTATCGATTGTGCGTGCCAGGGATGGGAGTACACCCAGAGAAACCGATGAGCCAGCCGGCGCGGCCCACAGAGAAACAAGCAGTTCCGTAACAATATGGCGCCCAACTTGAAGAAGCACTCGGCTTCTTTGAAGTCGTTGCGTAATCATAGAAAAACAAATACGATATAAATGAAGGTACAGAGAAAAGGATTCCTTTGGCTTCAGGACCCACACCGCTGAAGTCTTATGTGGCACGAGTAGGGAGCTCATAATCGCGCAGCGTGACGTGGAATCCGAGAAGCACGACGAAAGTAGAGAGTATCCATAAACATGAGAAGTTTTCTCTTAGTGGTTGATGACGGTAAGTCACGTTTGCATGTTGGCGAAACGTTCGCGTTCAAGGTAGCGTTCCTTGACGAATGCTTAAGTGTTGTCCACTGTCCAGATTATGCGTAGATTAGTTAGCCTGTGTTAGGATTTCTTCCCCAAGTATTTGAAATTAATTAGAAAGAAAAAAATTTTAATTTTGTAAATGTTTTTGTGGTCGATGTGTTTGAAATTATTATTCTCTATTAGTAAGATTTGTTAGTGGGTTTTTATTTATTTAAATTATAGGAATATTGGTACGTTTTGTTTAAGGGTAGCAATTTTTGTAGAAGAGAGGGGTACAGTTCTCGGAAGGGATAAGTATGGCTGAGGAACAGGTGTCTGATTGGGCTTCTGACGCTGATGGGGCGTCGGCTCTGCCACCGCCGCGCCGCGGGCTGGGGGACTGGTGCGAACGCCAATGAATTTCCGGGATTTCCAGAGAGACAGATCTCAAATCGGCGGCAAAAGCGGCGATCGCTCAGGCCCACCAAACGTATCGGCATGCTCTGCCATCTGGCATCAGCGAGTCCATCCGCGAGGAGATGCGAGCTGGCTTCATGGAAATTATGAAGGGCATCATTGATGTGCTCAGGCCGCCAGACTAACACTGCGCCGAACCCGCCGAGACATGTCGAGCCGGGACCACGAACAGGCGCCATCCCGAAAGAACGGGAAGTGTTCCAGCGCGAGGCATTTCCACCACCGGTGCCACCGAAGCCACATAGAAAGGCGCACGAGGGGCGGAGTATTCGTCCAGCAGCCCAGTTTACGTCGCAGATGCTCAGTCGAGGAACTGGCGTAACTCGAATAACCGCCATTTCCGAGTAGAGGACCGGAGAGCGGATGATTTTCAACCGGAGGAGGCGTACGCCAACGTACAAGAAACGGCGTACATGAAGCTCGAGCGGTGGAACGTCTAGTTTGATGCCTGGAGTTCCTGCAGAGGCAGTATCAATGCCCGTGGAAGGAGGTCCTGCGCGGTTTCCACCTGCTCTGACCGGCCGCGCCCGCGAGTGGTATTGGATGCACGTGCGGCATTCTAGGGTCGACAGCTGGATGCAACTGCGACATGCCCTCTTGGACAGGTTCCGGGGCTACCACGGAACACGATGTGATACAGGAGCTATTACAACGAGAGCAACAGGCCAGCGAAGGGGTAGATAGTTATATCACCACATGCTTCAACTCGCGCGACTCCAGAAGCCGCTGAGAGACCGCGAGCTGGTGAAGATTATAAAGCGTGGTTTGAAAGAAAGTCTGGCGAAATATATATCTATGCCATGGACGTGCTCACCGTGGATGAACTGCGCCAAGAGTGCCTAGAAGTGGAGAGGCACATGGGTCGTAGAAGCCCGGACGGGTAACCTGCAGCCGTCGCGTTGTCCACAAGGGACGAGGCCCGTAGTCCACGAGGTTGAAGTACCACCACAACGACAGAAGACGCCGCCGGGAGAACTGGAGGA